GGGGGGCAGTGGACGCCTTCCCAAAGGTTTGCCACACGGCTGGGAAGTCAAGTTTGATGCTAACTCTGGCAGATAGTAAGTACCTCAATCTGCCAGGTAGTAAGTACCTCAATCTGGCAGATAGTAAGTTCCTCAGTTTGGCAGACTCACAGATGATCAAACAGAGACTACAAACCTCACTCAAGGAAAAAGATCTTGGGGTGAGTATAACACCAGGCACATCTCCTGAAGCGCACATCAACCAAATAACTGCTGCAGCATATGGGCGCCTAGCAAACCTCAGAACAGCTTTCCGACATCTTAATAAGGAATCGTTCAGGACCCTGTACACCGTGTACGTTAGGCCCATATTGGAGTATGCGGCACCAGTTTGGACCCTCACCTAGCCAAGCACGTAAAGAAACTAGATGCAAAGGTTTGCAACAAGACTAGTCCCAGAGCTAAGAGGTATGTCCTACGAGGAGAGGTTAAGGGAAATCAACCTGACGACACTGGAGGACAGGAGAGATAGGGGGAACATGATAACGACATACAAAATACTGAGAGGAATTGACAAGGTGGACAAAGACAGGATGTTCCAGAGATTGGACACAGTAACAAGGGGACACAGTTGGAAGCTGAAGACACAGATGAATCACAGGGATGTTAGGAAGTATTTCTTCAGCCACAGAGTAGTCAGGAAGTGGAATAGTTTGGGAAGCGATGTAGTGGAGGCAGGATCCATACATAGCTTTAAGCAGAGGTATGATAAAGCTCACGGTTCAGGGAGAGTGACCTAGTAGCGATCAGTGAAGAGGCGGGGCCAGGAGCTCGGACTCGACCCCCGCAACCTCAGCTAGGTGAGTACAACTAGGTGAGTGCTCCGTGGCCTGGTGGCTAAAGCTCGCTTCACACGGCGACTGTCCGGGTTCGATTCCCGGCGAGGGTAGAAACATTGGGCACGTTTCCTTACACCGGTTATCTGTGTTCACCCATCAGTAAAATGGGTACCTGGGTGTTAGTGGACTGGTGTGGGTTGCATCCTGGGACAAAACTGACCTTATTTGCGGGAAATGCTCAGCATAACAAGAGGCTTTCTATATAGTAGTATGTCACTGATGTCAGCTATGGTCTGTATACCTTGTACATGTAGTAAATTAAGATATTATTATTATTATTATTATTATTATTATTATTATTATTATATTATTATTATTATTAAACCAAAGTATGTGGGCAGCCCTTGAACACTGTGCTTATATTACAACCTAATATGATTCTTCACATCTTTCTTTAATTTTGGCCAATAAAATTCTTTTGTGATTCTATACAAGGTTTTTGTAATTCCTAAGTGACCTCCTAATGACGTATTATGAGCTATATTTAATATCTGAGGTCTATACTTGGTTGGAACCACTAACCTGTCGTATAATTGCCGGCCCTCTATCTCCTTACCAGTCTCAGTGCAGACCAAATAATCATTTTTAACTTCATACTTGACTGGATGACCCAAAGAGGATTTACCCATGGCTGCCTGAAAAGCGAATTTTAAAGAAGGGTCCTTTCGTTGTTCCTCCCGGAAGGACAGTCCCTCGGGCATGGAAACAGAGACATCTGGCAATCCTGCAACCTGGGAATAGGAAGGCTTGATCGGGGTCTGTTCACTTGATCTACGAGGCTCTGGCCAGTTTTCCTCGTAAAACAATGTGGCTATTCCGAGATCGGAGTCGTCCAAGGATAGGTCAACATTCTCTCCAGACAACCCTTGGGATGTTGCCCGAGTTATGGCCAACACTGGAGAAGCATTAATCATTATAGGTTCAGGACACAAACTAACAGTAGTAATGTTATTACCCAGTAATAACGTGGCATTTTTCATGGGAAATCCTTTTGAGACACCTACAGTCAAATACCCAGTGTAATATTTGCACTGTACATAAATTTTATGCAAAGGAACAGAATATATAGCTCCTCCAAATGCTTCCAATAAAACTGAGGAATTCAAAGAAGTATTCTCTGAAAGGGGTAATATTCCTTCTCTGACAAGTGAGCAATATGCTCCAGTATCTCTAAAGGTATTTACTTTAGTTGGTTCTGAGTTTTCCTGAAGGGAAAAAAAGACTTTCGAAATAATAAGGGGCCATAACCTTTTTCTACTTCTCTAGGGACATGTTACTAGGATATTAGAGATTTTCCCGATGGGTTGGGGTTTTGGGGGCAGTTGGAACTGATGTGACCTATTTTATTACACTGAAGCAGACGACGGGCTTGCCCTTTACTCCCTGTTGACGTTGCAAGTGGTGTCGTTCTGGCTGGTGCCTCTCTGGATATTGTTGCCCGAGATGCTCCATAATTAGTTTTGCCTCTCCGCAGGGGGACCATATGTTGAGAAGCGTGGCCACCAGGTGACTTAGTTGGATGAGGGTAGACGCTCTCCCCCCGGGCTGGCACTTCATTCTCCAATGTTGTCGATCTCTGCTCACGCCAGACTGTTGAAAAGAGAGAGGGGACCGCTGGGACAAGGAGCGGTTCGTTTCAAAGGGAGCCAACCTGGCTGCCTCCAATGCAGGGGTTTTAAGTCACGATCCTGCAGAAAGACACGAACCTCTGGTCCCCACAGACTCCAGCAGGTTATAAATCAGAATAAGCTGCACCAGCTCCTCAAAGTTAGAGACACCACTCCCTTATACCAGCGGGTAAAATTTTGGGTTTTTGCTGTCTCACAAATCCACCAGGGATTGACCAAGCTGCCGCCTGTTCAATTTGAAGGGTTTTTAACGATATTTAGCTGGGATACATGTATATGCTCCCAACACTGTGGTCTTCACTACTTGAAATCAGAGAATTCAGCGTCAGTTAATACCGAACGTAAATTCCGGGCCTTACCCAATAATCTGTATGAACCAACGCTGCCCATGCTGTTCCGGGCCACCTCAAGGCTCGGGGCTGATTTTCGAAGCTTTCGAAAAATTGCTCTGGTTGGGCCTCATTGAAGGGGGGAACAAGCTGTACTGCTTTTTTGAAACTGAAACCCGTTTACAGAATGCGAAAACTGCCCCCCTTTCCCTCTTTCCCATCAAATTCTTCCCTTGCGAATGCCTCTGTTCCCTATTTTTGCTCCAGCGTGATTTTTGCCAGCTCAAGTGCCAACGACGCTGATTCACCTCGAGACAACCCAGCTGCACTATACTGACCTTTTTTGCTCCGTAGGTGAAATCATCTTCCTCATGCGAAACATAGGAGTTTTTTCCCTAGCTCCCGTAGAGGGAGGAGTTTGATGTTGCCATCTCTTCTTCTATAATTTTTGTCAGCAATAAGTGAACGCAGTTGCGCAGCTGTGAGAGTGCGTTTATAGGGAATGCCAATGGAACGAGCAATTTGCCAAACCAACGCGTAGGGACAATTTAGGTAGGTTATCAAAGTATATGCCCGACACCAGGCGTCTGACTCTTCTAGGTGGCATAAGTTATTCGCTATGCACAGTACGAATACCCCAACGTAACACTTAATTTGCAGAAAACGCTTAGCAAAGCACAGTACGATTTGCAGAATACGCATACAAGCAAAGCCGACTGCACACAAGATTGACCGTAGCGAAGCGAGCACACTGAACAAGCTAGTAGCGAGCTGTTGAATGATCACACAATAGCAAGGCTGATCATAAGCAACTGACACGCAAAATTTGTAAAGCGAAGCGAGACAGCAAGCTACACAATGTTCCTGCTACAAGCTTCACCCTAAGCTCAACCGTTTCTCTAAGTCCAGCTCCAGCTCTCGGACAGGCTACCCATATTACAACCTAATATGATTCTTCACATCTTTCTTTAATTTTGGCCAATAAAATTCTTTTGTGATTCTATACAAGGTTTTTGTAATTCCTAAGTGACCTCCTAATGACGTATTATGAGCTATATTTAATATCTGAGGTCTATACTTGGTTGGAACCACTAACCTGTCATATAATTGCCGGCCCTCTATCTCCTTACCAGTCTCAGTGCAGACCAAATAATCATTTTTAACTTCATACTTGACTGGGTGACCCAAAGAGGATTTACCCATGGCTGCCTGAAAAGCGAATTTTAAAAAGGGTCCTTTCGTTGTTCCTCCCGGAAGGACAGTCCCTCGGGGATGGAAACGGGGACATCTGGCAATCCTGCAAACCCGGGAATAGGAAGGCTTGATCGGGGTCTGTTCACTTGATCTACGAGGCTCTGGCCAGTTTTCCTCGTAAAACAATGTGGCTATTCCGAGATCGGAGTCGTCCAAGGATAGGTCAACATTCTCTCCAGACAACCCTTGGGATGTTGCCCAGTTATGGCCAACACTGGAGAAGCATTAATCATTATAGGTTCAGGACACGAACTAACAGTAGTAAATGTTATTACCCAGTAATAACGTGGCATTTTTCATGGGAAATCCTTTTGAGACACCTACAGTCAAATACCCAGTGTAATATTTGCACTGGTACATAAATTTTATGCAAAGGAAAAAGAATAATAGCTCCTCCAAAAGCTTCCAATAAAACTGAGGAATTCAAAGAAGTATTCTCTGAAAGGGGTAATAGCTTAATTGTCCACTTATTGAGGAATACTAAAAGAGATAGACAGTATAAATAACCCCAATGGAAATAAGTCACTGTCTGACTTTTTGGGTTATCTCTGGTACTCTACACATATGTTGCTATGCATGATTATCTATGTAACGTATTTGTGTATTCCCTGAATAAACTTACTTATGTGACATGTCAAGATATTAAATGAAAATAAGATACCAGAACATACCAAGCAAATTTCCTAAATTTTCTTGCAACAGATAAATGAAAAGTTTGATATAAATCCAGATGTACTTCTTTAAGATCAGATCGGTCTGCATACATATATGTGTGCTTGCATGTGTAGTGTGAGCTAAGTGTAAGTAGAAGTAAGAGGATATATCTGTTATCCTGCAGTTTGACACAGAAAAAGATGTCAGGGATCCTACCTCTATGTAAAACAATTACAGGTTTCCCTTTCATATTTTTTTCGCAGGATGGTAAATACCTCCCTGACTGATGTACCACCGGGTGATATTTCCTCCCTGAGTGATAGTACCTCCCT